TTTATCCAATTAATCTAATCAGCTATGAAACAGAAGAGGGCAACAGTGCAATATTTGATAAAGTGACTTCACTGGATTTTAAAAGCTGTTCAGTTGAGGATCATAGTTAACTTCCACACAAAGGGCAAAAGTAACTTTGGAGAATACTCTGCCTTATTTTGAGATGGGGACAAGGAGTTGAGGTTGGACGGTCTTAAACTCAAATTCATGATCCTCATACCTCAGTCTCCTGAGTGTTGGAATTACAGTCATTTGCAACCACGCCTGACTTACTTTGTATATTTTTAGCTCATCTTTCTATTCATAAGATCCCACATAAGAATGGGATGTTAAACCTAAAAACAAAACAAAACCAAAAATAGGCACATATATTATTTTAAAATAAATTCGCAGGTACAGAGGATGGAGAGTTCTAAGTTTTTACATGTCTGGGAAGAAACCCAGAATGACTTCATATATACAACAGTTAAGGCTTTTGTTTGTTTGTTTGTTTGTTTGTTTCAAAGCAAAAAAAGAAAACATCATTTGAAAATGTTTCCACTGTAATCTAAAAGTTGATTTCCAATGTTAAGCTCATTTTCCTAGTTTGTGACAGATCCAAACTGTTTTGGCGGTATTGTAACCCAAAGTTACTAACACAGAAAACAAAAAACGGAACTATGCACTCATGACCATTTCACAGACACACTGTCATTTCAAGATGTCCTCAGGCAAGCCTGGGGCAGAATCTCCATCTCTAGTGGCCACAGTTTCTTTCCGTGCTCCCGGTTTGGCCCAGTGCAGTCACTAGGTCGGGCACTGCACACGACAGTGATGCAAAGAGTTGAGAAACACAGCTCAATGACTGCGGTTTTAGCCCCAAACGGTCTGCAAGGACAATGAGAACATGAAGGAAAACGCTGCCAGCCACGGGGAAATGGGAGCGATCACTACCATAGGACAGAGTGCCTTGTAGGAATTTCTGATGTGACAGAAGGGGGGGGGCACGACAGCACGACACAGGACTACATTCTGAAAAGCTGATATTTAATCTACTTTGGATAAGTAGTATACATTTCCTGGCCTCCAGGCTAAAGGCTGAAATGGGTGTTCGGAAGCTGAGTAGTGGCAGGCTTGGCCCTTTTCAGAGTTTGCAGCCTTGGTGGGAAGGAGTCGCAGTCCAGTTTCAGCACACAGAACAGGAAATGCACCGAGGCTGCTTCATAGGATGGTTTTGCTGATGCAAATATAAAAGCCACACTTTTGTGACTAATGAAAAGACAAATGTCAGTATTTCATTTTACACAGCTGAGGCACCTCCAGAGCCCGATGCTGAGCCAGGCCCACTCAAAGAAGAGTGGTGGGTTCTGAGGACCTCCAGGGAGAGCACCAGAATGTCAGCATGTGCAGAGCCTGCTCCACACTCGAGCCTCTTCAGAAGCAGGAACTAACACAGATGAACCCAAGACATCTAACTGCCTGCTTTAATGTTGTTTCTACCAGTTAGTGCATGATTATTTCCCCAGAGGCGTCACCTGCCTATCGCAAATGGAAAATATAACAAGAGAAAGCTTTTCTTCTTCTTTATAAGCAAATTTGACTTAAAATTTAAGACAACATAGTATTCATTATACTATCCCCTTCATGTCACATCTCAGCAACTCAGCAAATCAACTACATTCTGGGTGAAGTTGAAATTCTCACTAAATCCTAAGGGTTTTGATGACTAGCTGAAATTGAAAATTATCAGACATAATTATATACAATGATAATATTAGCCAAGCATGATGGGACATGTTTGTAATCCCTAGCATCCAGAAGGCTGAAGCCAGAGAACAGTGAGTTCAAGGCCAGCCTGGTCTACAGAGCAAGATCCAGGACAGGCACCAAAACTATAGAGAAACCCTATCTCAGGAAAAAAAAATTCAAAAGAAGAAAAAGAAAGATGTAGTATTAAAAACAAAACAATAACAAAACCTATTGGTTTGATTTACAGTAGGATGGCCTATAGAGAATACTGAACTCCTGACTCCAAACTCCCTCATCTGATAAGCACAGTGACATAAAAGATGTTTCTACATTTATTGTATGCTCTCAAGGGCCATCCTTTCCCCCTGTTTCAGCAATAAAGAACCTGAGGCTCCAAGAGGTTAAGTAGCCTGACTAAGATGCCATAGTAGTATAGCCTTTACCCATGATGGATACATTCCAAGTCCAGTAGATGCCTGAAAACTCTGACAGTACCAAACCCTATCTACAGCCGGTCCCTGACCATCAATAGTGTTAGAGAAATGTGTACCCAGTAGAAGTGGTATTTTGAATTTTGATCTTTTCCTGTCTTGTATTCAGAATGATGCCCACCCCCCTTTTGATTCCTGGCAGCAGCAGCACTGGGTAACAAGATGCAGCTCCCTGTCAGTTAGGCTGCTGTGAAAATGAACAGCTAACACTCCCAGTACACTATGTTGCTGATGGTTTTAGATAGAGTCACGCAATAAACTATAGAAGACAGTCAGCTCTTACTATGATGTAGGTGTTCAGCTGGAACCTTCAGCTCACTCCTGCTAGATCCAGAAAGCCCCATTCCTGTCTCTCCAAGTCCCGCCCTCTCAGAGAGTCTCCAACAAAGAAAAGGCAGCAAAAAGCCCAGTGCCACATTCCTGGCGGCTACAGCAGCTCCTCCTCCCCTGAAGCTGCCAGTAGCCCAAGACCCCACCTAAAGCGGTCAGCCTTTGACCACACTTGGGCACAAACCCATCTTGTGAAGGACATGCTATCACCCCTCACCTACAGGTGTGTGTATAAGCTCCCTGCTTTAGTTCGGCCACCTGACTTCTCGGGCCTCGATCTCTGGGGCTGGAGGACTCACCCAGGAGTTGCTTTGCTCAAATATACTTGTTCTTTTACTTTTTCAATTTGGCTTCATCTGGCTTACAATGTTGGGGGGGGGAATCTATTATCGAGATACAGAAAACCTATAAACAGACATGCGTGTCATCTGACTATGCCCACATTTTAAACAGGCTAGGCCATGTGACTCTTGAGAACCTTGTACTTACTCTTGGGCATACACTGTCCTTTTCCTAAGCACCTCTGTCTCACCTGTCTGTTGCTTAAATCTCTACTAAAATGGTTTCTTAATAAACTTCAACTCTGCTTCATTAAACAAAACTACGGGCTGAGGTAAACCATGATGTTTGCTGGGTCAGCTGATATTAAAAACCACTTTTAACTTGTAACAAGCTTATCAGGATGGAATGCTACAAGTCCAGAAGTATCTCTTTTTTTCCAATACATAAACATGAAAAGTTTCACTTATGAATTGGGCATAGTAAAATATTAATTAATAAAAGAAAATAATTATACTGTAATAAAAGTAATTTAAGCCAGGCAATGGTGGTGCATGCCTTTAATTCCAGTACTCAGGAAGCAGAGGCAGGAGGATCTCTATGAGTTCAAGGCCAGCCTAGTCTGCAGAGCAAGTTCCAGGACAGCCAAGACTACATAAAGAAATCCTGTCTCAACTGTTTATTTCTATAATTTTTCACATACCATTTTTGAGCAATGGTTAATTGCCATGTTAAAACTGTGGGTAGGTGACATTGGGGTAAATAAAGGCACGGTAATGGGGACTGGGGACTTTAAAAAGTGGAGCTGAGGTTTCAACTCATACCTGCCAAGCTCCACACCTGAGCTCCCTTCCTTGCACAAAGGATGAGGATTCTGCCTCAAGCCACACTGCTGGAATTCCCTCTCAGACTCCATCCTGGATGTACTAATTCAAATCATAAAGAATTTGGAAAGAAACAGTTGACCCTAGCTCTAGGTCACTTCTAGGTCACAAAAGCAAAATGGGTCAACTCTTAGTTGGCCTGAATATTCTATATTACTAGAGTAGCTTAGTATGGCCAATTTAATTTTTAAAAATCTTATTTCTGCCGGGCGTGGTGGCGCACGCCTTTAATCCCAGCACTCGGGAGGCAGAGCCAGGCGGATCTCTGTGAGTTCGAGGCCAGCCTGGGCTACCAAGTGAGCTCCAG